GTTCGCTCCCCAGATGGCTGCAATGGCCAGAGATGTGAGCTGATCTGAAGCCAGGAGACAGGAGATTCTTTCAGGTCCCCAGCGCAGGTGCAGGGGCCTAAGCACTTGGGCCATCCTCTGCAGCCTTCCCAAGCCATAGCAGAGAGCTGGATCAGAAGAGGAGCAGCTGAGTCTAGAACCGGCGCCCATATGGGATGCTGGCGCTGCAGGCTGGGGCTTTAACCCACTGGGCCACAGCACTGGCCCCAGCCAATCTATTTACAAGACTTAACCTCTGCATTTGCTCTGCTAGTTAAATATGCTTTGTGTTTGCAATGTCTTTTTAGATTGTTATTCCATTTTTTACTTAGAGAGAGAGAGACAGAGAGAGAGAGAGAGATCTTCCATCTGCTATTTCCCCCCACTCCCTGCCCAAATGCTTGTAATGGCTATGGCTGGCCCTTACCAAAGCCAGGAGCCTAGAACTTAATCTAGGGATCTCCTATACGGGTGGCAGTCATGCTGTTGTAGGCAGGCATACAAGTTAAAATTGATAAGGTTTGTGAGCTGGAAGACCTTGCCTTCACCATGCCCATGTGTGACCTCATGCCCCTACCTGACCACACCTGTGCACCCACCAGCTAATTAGGTTAATTAACCACTCCCCTTTGGAAGTGGATTAAAAGCCTAGGACACTGTGTGCCTGCCTCTCTCTCTCCTTTCCTTGGCCTTTTGCCAGTGTGGGGCTGGTTGTGGCCCTGTGCCTCCAGGGTGTGTGGCCTTCCGGCCACCTGCCCCATGCTTCCTGGTCTAGATGCTCCTCCATGTGCCTGGTTCCTGGTACTCGGTATGAGCCTAGATTTACCTCTCTCCTTTAGACAGGGCCCTCACTCTCCTATGCATCTTTCTCACTAAATAAAAGCTTAAAAATGTACCACGCTGCCTCATTCATCTATGCTGGTATTCAGAATTCTCTGAATATTAGGCAAGAACCCACATGGGTTTATTAATATTGGGAATTTATGTGATATCATATGGCACCCCAAATTCCGATTTCATATGGCACCCCAGATGGGACTTTTGGTGGACTTTAAGGGGACCACATTCCGATATCATATTTTAGGGGGCCAATTCCAATATCAATCTGAGTACTTGAACATCTCATGGTAAGCAGTATCAGGAAACTGGATCTCAGAGTAGCCAGGAATTGAACCAGGTACTCCCATATGGGATGAGGGCATCCCAAGGGATGACTTAGTCACTACAGAGCATGGCCATCCCTGTATTCTCCTTGAATATTCTTTTTTTTTTTTTTACTGATTTTTAATAATAATTACCCTGTATTTATGTAAGGGAATGGCCTAATTTTTAGGAACAATACTCTGAAGTTCTCAGAAATTAATAAATAGACACAAAGTCTCCAATTTACTTTCCAAAGATTCAGGGGAAAATATATACAAATACATAGACATCTACATATTATATCTATTTACACACATATATAAACATACAAATACTGTAAATGTAATACATGTATAGATATATAACAGATACATTAATCTGTATGAGATACAAACACATATTCACATGAACACACAGATATGCTAAAACATTAAAGTGTGTCTCTATTAGTATTTCATACATAAAATGTATATTTATATATTGTATTTACAATTTTTACATGTTAATATTTTAATGGTCATTATTACTGTGGCTATGCACATCTGCTGAATATCAGCTCTAACTTAACTCCATCCACTAACCCTTTAAATTTCATGTATTTCATATATAGATTTAGGGCATAGAGATACTTCCCACCATAACCTCCCTCCTAGCCACACTCCTACCCTCCCTTCTCCTTCCTTTCTTATTCTTTCTTTTAATTTTTTACAATGACATACTTTCAGTTTACTTTATAATCATAACTCTCTACTAAGTACAGAATTCAACAAATAGTAAGAAGAAAGAAACATTGTTCCTCAACGGTAGAGACAAGGGCTGTAAACAATAATCACTTTTCAAAATGTCAATTTTGCTCATATACGTTACATTTTTTGTTCTCTATTAGTTACCACAGACCAGGAAAAACATATGGCATTTGTCTTTTGGGGATTGGCTTATTTAGGTAATTATAACAGTTTCCAGTTGCATCCGTTTTGTTGTGAAAGACTGGATTTCATTCTTTTTTATGGCTGAGTAGTATTCCATCTTGTATCTATAGCACATATCTTTATCCAGTCATTGGTTGATGAGCGTATGGCATTTTCTTTTAAAGTATTTTTTATTTTCTTTTCTCCCCCCATCAACATACTCTTCTTTCCTATCAACATATTCTTGATTTTCTTTAATGTCATCTTCTCTCCATCAATTCTGAAATTTTACAAAAGAAGCTGTAGGCTGTCTCCACTACCAGTTAATTGACAGAAACTACTAACCTCTTGAGGGCAACCACCTTACTAAATAAAGGAATGGTAACATAATTCGGCTTTTCTAAGTATTAGAATCACTGAAAGTATATTTTGTTGAATTAATCATGGTTTCCAGTAATGGCTGAGATTAGTTTCATTGCAAATAAACCATATTTACCTTTGTAATTCTTCCTGACAGACTAAGGATATAATAAGTGCTTAAGCAAGAGACTAAAAAAAAAGCATAAGGAAGTAGCTGTGGATTGTGCTTTTGTTGTTTTGGTTAGTGGATTTCTTACTGCTTCTACGGAAAACGAATGTAGGTGTCAGTAGTCATGTTTATCACAGCGTGGAGGGAATGTTGCCTTTGAAACAATAGAACTGATGCTAGAGGAATCCATGTGTGGGCCAGCATTTCTGAATGTGGAAGTATTGTGGTGAGTCAGGATCAGAGCACATTGCCTTGGGCTGACCTCTAATAGAGCAAAAGAGAGTTGATGACAAAGGCCTGTGTGGCACAAAAGCAGTGGAAACGAGGTGGTTGCCCAGGAACAGGTAGCCAGGACTCCACCTGTCACCAAAACAAATCAATTCCATTCTTTTCCAAGTTTTGTTTATTCAAACATTTTCCAAATATTTATTTTATTTATTTCAAAAGGAGAGTGACAGACAGAGGGGAATAGGACCTAGCTAGCTAGCTAGCTAGATCTTCCACCTGTGAGTTTACTTTCTAAATGGCCACAACAGCCAGGTTAAGCCAGGCTGAAGCTAGGTAATCTGGAACTCCATACTGGTTTCCCATGTGAGTGGTAGGGGCCCAAGCTCCTTTCCCCATCACATTTTTGAGCTGGCACTCCAATATGAGATACCAGCATGTTAAGCTGTGGCTTAACTCGCTGTACGAAAATGCCAGTCCCTCAAAGTTTTGTTTTAATATTGAATGAAACCATAGTGACTCCCTAATCATTGCCATGGAGCCTCTTGTCCTAGCCTGCAGTAAAAGCACTGTAGACTTTGCTCTCTGGTTAGACAGGCAGCGTATCACCCACGTGCTGTTTCCTCAAGTAGCACAATTGCAAAGCCCTCTTTTTCCTATTCTTTTTTCCTTTGGTCAAGGGGTGCTTTATCCTTATCCTAAGACAGGTTCTCCAAAGAGGAGCATGACAAATGTATTTGATCATAGTTCTATGCTACAAGAATGAGCCCCTAGACCCCGGGTGAGCAATCCATTTTTATGCTTAGGTTGGATGTACAGGAAACCATGTGGAAATATGATTGGACAAAAAGTGTGCAACTGAATGCTAGCAGGCTGCGTGTGGAAGCCTGGCAAGGCCTTACTGATCAGATTGTTCTTGGCCACTCTGTGCAGTGTCCTTCCTGCTGGGAATGGGGCAGGAGCCCTCTGAACGAGAATCTCATGACTGATGATCAGACAGAGCAAGTCAGGTATTTTCTTTGTGGCCAGCTTCAAGACAGAAAGGTGGGAAATATTAGAGTAGTGTTTTTGAGTTTTATGGCTGGCTTTGGGAGAAAACTGTTCCAGTTTTGATTATTCACCTTGGGGAAGAATTCTAATTTTTATGGTTTTTCTTAGGGAATAATGAGAGCTAAGAGTTGAGCAGGAGAAGGTCAGGAACAACTTTGCTTACAAGTACTTCATGTTGAAGGACCTTTTTCTGAGACCCAGTGGAGGCTTCACCACTTTGGCCTGAAGTTCAAGTCTTTCAAATGGCCTTTCTGTCTGTCATAGAACTTAAGACTTGTATTCCAGGTACATTGTCCAGTTGCAATTTCCCAACTTCTCATGACTCTTAAGAGGAATTGAGGGCAGGCATTTGACCAGCTGGTAGGATGCTCCTTAAGACACTCACATCCCACATTAGAGTGCCTGGGATTCAGTATTTACTCTTTTTTTTTTTTTTTTGACAGGCAGAGTGGATAGTGAGAGAGAGAGACAGAGAGAGAAAGTCTTCCTTTTGCCATTGGTTCACCCTCCAATGGCTGCCACGGCTGGCGCGCTGCGCCGGCGTACTGTGCTGATCCGATGGCAGGAGCCAGGTACTTATCCTGGTCTCCCATGGGGTGCAGGGCCCAAGCACTTGGGCCATCCTCCACTGCCTTCCCTGGCCACAGCAGAGAGCTGGCCTGGAAGAGGGGCAACCGGGACAGAATCCGGCGCCCCGACCGGGACAAGAACCCTGTGTGCCGGCGCCGCTAGGTGGAGGATTAGCCTATTGAGCCACGGCACTGGCCCAGTATTTACTCTTAATACTGATTCCATCTTCCCAGTAATATGCAACTGGGAGGCAATAGTGATGGCTCAAGTAGTTGAGTTTGGACCACTGGTGTGGTAGGCATAGATGGAGTTTCAAGCTCCAAGCTTTTACCAGGCTCAATTCTAGCTCATGTAGGTATTTGGGGGAGTGAACAAGGAGGTGGAGTAAACCAGCAGATGGGAACTCTGTCTCTCTGTCTCTGTCTCTTCCTCTGTCTCGGCCTCCCCAATTAAATATCAATCTTTCTCTCATTCTCTCTCTCTCTCCCTCTTTCTCTCTCTCTCTCTCTCTCTCACACACACACACACACACAAAGAAATAGAACTTGATCATCATGTCAGAAAAAGCTGGAGTCATCTTTATGATACTTTTGTCCTCTGAGATACATTTATGAGAACTGGGACATGGCAAATGTCTCCCCTCCACTTTATTTAGAGTCACCACTAAGGTGTGTGAGACCTTAGGAAATACTCTTTTGGTGAATCTTCTGTTCATAAAAGCAATCTATCTAAAATTTCTTTACAAAGTTCATAAACACATAAAAGGCTTGGGGAGTTAGCCTAAAGATTTAGAATGATGGATAGGCAGGAGGTAGTAATGTATTTGGTTAATGTCCAATCAGAGCACCTGATGATTCTTCAGTCTCTTATAACTGTCTCCTTGTTTCATATCCAGGAATCATCTTCATATTCTTTATCATCAAATATCCTGTCTCTGGGTGGTTTTATGACTCCCACTGTGAGAAAAAGACAACTGTGTTGTTATTATTAAAGACCTGTAGCTTGTCAGAACCTGTCTGTTGCAACAGTGTAGCTCTTCTTGTTGTTAAATTGCTGAAGCCATGTGTTTCACACAGTTACATCAGCATTCATGATGCTGCATCATCCATCCTGCTGTGGGGATACTGGTTTCCAATGGCTCTTGCAAAGGCTCTTCTTGTGTTTCTTTCAAGAAGTCCACAAATGGTCAGAGGATGCAGGAAAATATAAGCAATCATTTATTTCATGGTCATGTTACATTGATCATTTGGAACATTAGGGCATAAACATAGAATGATACACTGTCTAGCTAGGTCTTCTCTTGAACCCTTTAGACTGTAACCATAGTATTCCTAAAATGTACTCTTTCCATTTTGATCCCACACTGGTGTCTGCTGTGTTACCGGCTGGGAGGCACTTGTAGTAAGAACAAGAATATTGGCCCCAATCATGCAGAGAATCACTGAGCTTCATCTAACTTAGCTTTACTTGGGATAGCACAAAATTACCACATCAATTGGAGACAAGAATGGAAGTATTGGAAGGGCCTATTGAGAGTAACAGTCTAAATAGCACTTGGAGAAGCTGGGTGGAGCCACCCCTTAGGACTACAGTATGTACACATGGTGTACACATGGTACAAAGCCTTTAGAGGGATGGGGGCCATCTGGCATGCCAACAGCAGGGATTATACAGGATAAAGATCACCTGTCACTCTGGCAATTGCAGACCAAAGGCAGAACAGTGTTAGCAGTGTGGTGGGTGATTGAGGATGCTGGCAGCAACATAGGCAGATCCATCTCAAGGGTTGGCTATGTGCTACTGGGAACTCAGAGTCCTGAGCTTGTCTTCTTTCCAAAAGAGTGAGAATTGCTCAAAATTGAGATGTCCTTTGGCAGCCCAATTTTACAGCATCTCATGAAAGCAGTACTGTGCCAGTCAGCAGAACTGATCTATCTACTCAGCAGGCAGCTTTTCTGGAACTGTCCAGCTCCAGGGCCCCAGGATGACCCTTCAGCAATGAGTTCTAGAGCTTGTCCAGGTGTTATGTGTACTGCGGGCATAAGGTAGTGAGTTGGAAAGAACTTTAAAGGGTACAAAAGGGAACTAGATTCATGGAAGACCCCATCCAGGCTCAGAGAACCTGTCCAGACAGCGCCAATAGTTCCAGAAAGGCTCAGCTGCCAGAGTGCTGGGGGTAGGAGCCTTAGGAACAGTTACTGAGGTGCAGGGACTGAGGGAAAAGCCCAGCTTACCTGGGTCTTAAATTTGTAGAGAGCAAAGGGCAAAACAGAAGGTGGCCAATGGGGAGATGAGGTCTTGGATGAACTGTTCTTGGACACCTGAGTCTTGAGAGTGACTCTCCACAGGTTGACCTATATTAAGGCACTGAGAAGCATTTTGCCAAATAATTAAATTAATATATGAATAACCAAACAGCCTCAACAACACTAAAAAGCTTTTATAATAGAGCATCCGTTCTACACAGGAGGGAGAAAATGCTATAATGGACATTGTTAGGTCAACTGCAAAATTAGAATATGGTTTGATTGTTTCAATGTAAGTGTATGAAGCTGATGACTACACAGTTGTTGTGAATACTTTTACTTAGGATGTTCTCTGGGGTAATTAGTGATAAAGGAGCAGGTTAAAAAATTGTCCATTTTCTCTGTCTCTCTACCTCTCTCTATCAACAAAAGACAAAGCAAGAGGAGTAAACTCTTAACAGAATCTATGTAAAAGGGAAAGAGATCTTTGTGTTGTTTTTATTGCAACTAACTTTAAAATTATTTCCAAATAGGAAGTTAAAAAGTTACCCCAATGCCGTTTATCGATTTTGATAAAATTGCTTACAACAATTTCTTTCCTTTCTTTCCCCTCCCCTCTTCTTCTTCTGCTCCTCCTCCTCTGCCCTCCCCTTTCTTTCTTCCTGCCTATAATATAGGTGAATATAGGGAAATTTGGGTAAAGTGGCATATTCCACAGCTTACAAGGCTGGGAGATCAAAGACTTAATGAAACGCGTTGTCTAGATCCAGGGTGGGTGCTACCCCTAGGAGAGATGGTGACAGAGTTCTAGGTGAGATGAGTGATTCAGGATGTGTCTTTGGATGTCTGTGGTGAAGAGAAAATTTAGTAGAGAATTTGAGTAAAATAATAATGATAATGGCTATATTTCTGAAATGTGAGGGAAACACTGAGCTTCTTTTTTATTTAGCAATGTCCCTATTTCTACACTAGTAGTTGCTTGCAGTTTCACGGCTTGCAGCAGTGGTTGATGATGTAGGCCCTGGCAAAAGAGAATCTGGGATTAACTCCAGCTTTTCTGCTTATCAACTGGGTGCGCCTGGACAAATGGTTCCACTTTTTGTGCCCCAACTTTCTCCTCTGTAAATGGCAATAATAACAGCACCTCTTAGGAAGACTGCAAGTGACAGAAACTGTGACTTCAAGTGGCTTATACCAAGAGAAGTTCAGAAAACAGGGCTGCTGCACAGTACTGTCAGAGACACAAGTGTGTGATACTGAGTGTGTGATCCAACTTTGTATGCAGGGAAGGGAGAAATGGAGAAATGTGAGCTGATTTGTGCCCTTTCATCAGACAAATCAAAGCTTTCCTCAAACTTCCAATGCAGAAACTCACTTTTGGGCCTGAGTTGTGTCACCTGGCCACTTTTACTTGCATTTGGGAGGGAAAGGGGGATTTCTGAGTAAATAAAAAGAGTGGGTTGTAGCATGCTACACAGGGCTGTTTTGAATGCTGAAGAACTAATAGCTATAAAGTTTTTAGAAAAATTTCTAAGTGCTTAGGTGTTAATTTATTGTTATTATTGATAATATTAATAGAAGTTGTATTTTAATCTATGTATTGAGAGATGTCATCAGCTTCAGAAATACTTTTGAGAATGCCTGTGAAATTAAAGGAAGAAGGAAGAAATTAAGAGTGACCCCCACCTGCCCAATCTGATTCTGCCCCTTGAGGAGGTTTGAAAGAAACAGACATATGAGGTTGATTCAAAAAGTTTGCAAAAAATGGAATTATATTTGTTAAAGTATTAAGCACTTTTAGTGTAATGTAAATTTGAAATACGTTGTCTCAAAAACTAAAAAAAAAAAAGGGAGAAAGAAGGAGATTAGGAGGGAAAGAGAGGAAGGGAGGGAAGAAGGGAATATCACTATGTTCCTAGAATTGTATCTACAAAACACATGAATCTGTTAAAAATTAATTAAAAATAAAATAAGAAAGGTTCTCTGTACTGAAAAAAAAGTTTATTTCGCTGTGAAAAAATTTCAAAGTCCACAGTCTGCTTTTTCATGGTATGCATTTTCCATGGCTTTTTTGATTTTGTGTTGTGCATGGATTTCAAAATCTTTGTAACAAAATACATTTATCTTTTAATCTTGCACTTTTAATTTGAAAGGCAGAGTGACACACACACACACACACACACAGAAAGAGAGGGAGAGAGGGAGAGAGAGAGATATTCTTTCTGCTGATTCATTCCTCAGATGCCCACAGCAGGGAGGGCTGGGCCAGCCTGAAGCTGGGAGCAAGGAACTCCATCTGTGTCCCCCATGTAGGTCATAAGGACCCACGTACTTGAGCCACCATCTGCTACCTGCAAGGATGCACATTAGCAGGAAGTTGGATCAGAAGCAGAGTTGAGACTGATCCCAGACACTCCAACACCCGCTGCATCATACTGCCTGCCCCTCCACAAACTCTGTGAAGCACCCTCAAAGGTAAATGAAGGAAGCATCTGCATCATTGCAAATGTTATGATTGACCGCCTCTGTAAGCTACTCAGGAATGTGAGGCATGTTGCCATTCAGAAGGACCTGCAGAGCTCAGAGAGGACTGTGGGATCCCAGAAGAGCACAGGCTGGAAGGTTGTACTTACTTGCTCATTTTGAGCACAGGAATAATATTGTGGATAATCAGTTTTCTGCTTGTAATTTTCCATGCTGACAGGCTGTGTTCATTTTTTATGGGGTTGGCTCTAATCGAATGCCACAATCTTTGCCTTGTTGCTTTTCTGTGGGCCATGTTGCCAGCCTTGCCCATCTAGGGTAGGGGGGCTAGCTGTTGTGTTGTGCACAGGACTCCATACAAACAAGTGCACCCAAATTTTGTTGGTGGCTTTTTTGCAGGTTGCTAGCTTAGTACTTTTCAAAATGCGCTGAGTGGCTGTTTGGAACTTGTCTCTGCTGACTCCACTGGGCTCAGTTTCAGTCTCTTCTAATCCACTAATGAACCTTTATTAAAGTGGGGGAGTGAGGTTGAACCAGTATTTGGGCACATTACTAAGATAAAGCAGGGGACATGAAACTATTGAGATCAACAGCAAGGACATGCTCAGTGTCTCCACCACCCCTGTTCAATCTCTTGACAACTGGCTTTTTTCCTCCCCAGAAATTAAAATATTATTAGGTTAATTTTTCAGTCTTTACGTTTGTTCTATTTTTTAAGGAGTTCTATGAAGAAGCATTCATTCACCAGAAAACCTCCCCTACTCCAGCTACTTTTCATTTAAAGTTCAGATTGATGTGATCAAATGCCCATGCAGATTTACATGATTAAATATGCAATGAAATGCCAACATTTTTGAATTCTATGAAAAGTGTCTGCTGGATCAAGCTGAAATTATGCTTCACCCTGATAGTTATGACTGTCCACACTCTTTTACACTCCTCTGCCACCCATCCTGCTCCCCTTTATCCAGAACACCCTGAGTCTATGGGGTCTCCATGCTGAGCTGTGAAGGTACCACTATGTACCTTTCCAAATTGTCCACTTCCTTATGGGGTTGGCTCTAATCGAATGCCACAGTCTTTGCCTTGTTGTTTTTCTGTGGGCCATGTTGCCAGTCTTGCCCATCTAGGGTAGGGGGGCTAGCTGTTGTGTTGTGCACAGGACTCCATACAAACAAGTGCACCCAAATTTTGTTGGTGGCTTTTTTGCAGGTTGCTAGCTTAGTACTTTTCAAAATGCACTGAGTGGATGTTGCAAATCAAGGAAGAGATGGCATGCAGTTCAGTTTGTCACCAGCTGTCCTCTATGCTTTCTCTGTTCTTCTTCTTCTTTTTTTTGACAGGCAGAGTTAGACAGTGAGAGAGACAGAGAGAAAGGTCTTCCTTCCATTGGTTCACCCCCTAAATGGCCTCTATGGCCGGCGCGCTGCGCCCATCCGAAGCTAGGAGCCTCCTGGTCTCCCATGCAGGTGCAGGAGCCAAGCACTTGCGCCATCCTCCACTGCCTTCCTGGGCCACAGCAGAGAGCTGGACTAGAAAGGGAGCAACTGGGACAGAACCAGTGCCCCAACTGGGACTAGAACCTGGGGTACCAGTGCTGCAGGCAGAGGATTAGCTTAGTGAGCTGCAGCGCTGGCCTCTCTACTTCTACTGCAGTTCCACACCCACTTTTGTAGTTAGAAATTCATCTTGACATTGAGCAAACAACATTTTGTTAGGCCTGGAAGATAGACTGAGGATGTCCCAACGTTCTTGCTCCCCCAAGGAACATGTAATTCTTCCAAATAACTTATTTCATAAGAAGTTGTAAGAATTTTACTCAGAGGTATACATTGTGGCACAGTAGATTAAACTACTGCTTGGTTTGCCTGGGTACCCAATGGGAGTACCTGGGAACCAGTCTCACCTCCACTTCTGATTCAGCTTCCTGCTAACACACACCCTTAGAGGTAGTGGATGGTGGCTCAAGTACTTTGGTCCCTGTTCCCCAGGATGGAGACCTGAATCAGTTTCTGGCTCATGGCTTCAGCCTGGCCTAACCTTGGCTATTGTGGGCATTTTGGAATGAACCAGCAGATGGAAGATCTCTATCTGTTGCTGTGCCTTTCAATTAAATAAATAAACATTAAAAAATGAATGCATTTAATCACTAAATTAAGGGATAAAACATTAATTAGATACAATATTGGGTTTAATACTTTTTTTTGAATTTCTGCTTTTTCATTAACTTCTTAACTAGTAGAAAAAGTGATTACACAAACCTTTCAAATTTAGCTATGGGTGATTTGATTCTCTCTCTCTCTCTAATTGTATATGTGTGTGTAGATAGCACATATATGATATATGTAAGTAATATATATAGAAATAACATAAATGAATGGTATAAATATGCTTCCAAAAGTATGTGGGAAAATGGAATTTAAAGATTACCTTCATTTTCCACGAACTTTTTGAAGATCCTCTTCTATATAAATAATAGATATGATATATGTGTCTTTTTTGTTTGTAAGAAGTTACTGATTAAATCAATCTTTTGCTAATCATGATTTTTAAATTGTGTAACATTTAACACTTTTCAGAGTGCTTTTATCTTTTGCGATCCTTATAGGGAAAAGGCATTATATTTAAATGAGAAAATATTGGCCCAGATCAGTTATTTGTTTAAAGTTACAAAAACCAGTTATTGATAACAGTGAAATATGAAGACATTGTTTGCCTATTTTATTTATTTATTCTCTAGGCACTGTTTTTATGCTGATTAGTAATGAGTAAAAGAGAAAAACACATGGCTTCATAGAGTTTACTTCTTGATGGGGAGATGTTAAAGAAATTATGTTAGATAGAGTATAAGAAGCTCATCAGTACTGAAGGAAAAAGCAGAGCAGGATGGGATAAGAATCTTAAAAATACGTAGTTTACAAATTAGATAATTTGGTCAGGGAAGCCTTATGGGAGGCTAATGTCTGAGCAGAGATATATAAAGTAGGGGAGGGGCAGGGGAAGGATTGGTGTTTTGTACAGTGGTTAAAACATCAGTTGGGACTGGCGCTGTGGCTCACTTTGCTAATCCTCTGCCTGTGGCACCAGCACCCTGGGTACTAGTCCCGGTTGCTCCTCTTCCAGTGCAGCTCTCTGCTGTGGCCCGGGAGGGCAGTGGAGGATGGCCCAAGTGCTTGGGCCCTGCACCCGCATGGGAGACCGGGAGGAAGTACCCGGCTCCTGGCTTTGGATCGGCACAGTGCCGGCCATATTGGCCATTAGGGGAGTGAACCAATGGAAGGAAGACCTTTCTCTCTGTCTCTCTCTCAATGTCTATAACTCTCTGTCTCTCTCTGCCTGGCAAAAAAAAAAAAAAAAAAATCAGTTGGGATACTTGCATCCCATATTGCAGTGCCTGAGTCCAAGTCCTAGCTCCATTTCCAATCCAGCTTCCTTCTAATGAGGGCTCTGGGAGGCAGCAAATGATGGTTCAAGCATTTAGGTCTCCATGTGGGAGACCCTGATTGAGCTCTGAGTTTTTGGCTTTGGCCGGGCCCAGTCCTGGCCTCTGTGGGCATTTGGAGGAGTGAACCAGCTTATTGGACTTTTTTCTGTCTGCTCCTCAAATAAAAATAAATAAAAATTAATAAAAATTAAAAAACATAGTAGGTGAGTTTGGAATAAGTCATGAAGATATCTGAGAAAGGGAAGTAAAATGTAAAGCCATTGGGCAGCAAGGAGCCCCATGTGGTTGAAAGAGAGTGAAAAGGGGTTCCTGTAGGCAGTGATGCCTGAAAAACAGGTACTGGAGTGTTAGGGGGTTGGGTGGAACTTAAGGTTCACAAGAGGATGGATCACCCCAGAACCTGCTATAAAGGCTCTGGCTCTTCTATGCATGAGTTTAGGTGTATTGGATGGTTGGAGCAGAAGAATGAACATGCCTTATGATCTAGTTTCTTTCAAAAAGACCCATTCTAATAGATTCCTTTAGGAAAAACTCTAGAAGGCATGGGTGGATGTAGGGAGTCCTAGTTTTAAGGCTTTGTGCACTGGGTCTGAACAGTGAGCAGCTGACTTATGGTCTCCAGTTCTGTGCTCCTAGCTGAAACTCTCCCACTAACTCCTGAAGGTCTGGCCACAATCATTAAATATTTTATTCAAAAAGAATTAAAAGTAGACAATCAGTCAATAAATTTGAACTTCCTTTTACTTTCTATGATTTTCTAGGGTCTCCCAGTTTGTTTTTCTTTCCCCAGGGCCAGAACATGTGCCTCTGCTCACCCAACCTATGTCCTCATAGTCCATACTGTCTGCTCTGACTTCCCTTCCCAACCTTCCTCAGCTCATGCCGAAGACTAAAAGCAAAGGGCAATGGCTTTCTTAGGCCTCCAGCTATTCTGAAGTTCTAGATTGCAACTGACAACCTGTGTTGTTCATTAGAGCAATCAAAACTAAGGGCTGGAGATTTTTGTAAAAAGTGACTTGAACAACTTACCTGCACTAAACTATTTAATACAGTAGATTTTGTGTCTCCCTGGAGACATGTCTCCCAGTTCCGGGCCTGGGGTCCGCGTGTGTGTACTTGCATCTGCTCTGTTGTGGTTGCACTGCACTTTAGTTATTTGATTTGGTGTTTGCAAACCCTGTGTGCACATTTTTATGAAACTTCAGACAATTTACTGCTGGAACTCTAAAAGATGTCTCCAGTCCTGGAAAACCACAAATTATTTAGCAAAGAGGCAAGGGAATGGAGGTCATTGAGCTCATTTCTTACATAATTTGAAACTTCCTTTCTGAATCCTGACCTCTCTTAGCAGTCAGAGTGATGTGGTCTTGAGACAGAATTGATAATGGGGAGGAAAAGATGAAAGCTGGCAAAAGGCGCTAACTGTTGTGTTCCTCTCGTTGCTTGTGATGTTAAATGCCAGCAACAAAAGGGAGAGTAGTGCAAGTACAGCAAGGTAGATATAAAGTAACTCCCCTTTCTTGTTTTATTGTGCTAATAAAGAGTAAAGGCAAAAAAAGTCTGCTTTGTGAGAGACAATATGACTTAAGGTATAAAAAATGAATTAACCCAAAACAATAGAATGAGTGATCATTAAGATAAAATTAGGGAACACTGTTGAAGGTAAGTCTTTGAAGCAGTAGGAATCAGTTTCTTGCAAGATACTCAAATGGTGAATACATACGTCCAGCAAATTCCTTCCACATAAAGGAAACAAAATAATCAAGATAGAAGGTGACTATAAGGCATGTGAAGCAACAAGTAGTAACATAGGTCAAATGTGAAGAAGGAAAATATAACTCCTACATATATAGCTTGGAAAGATAATGACTGGATTGAGTGAAGTAGGGGAGATACTTAATGCTAAACTGATCTTCTGTATATTAAGAGAATCGAAAATGAATCTTGATGTGAATGGAAGGGGAGAGGGAGTGGGAAAGGGGAGGGTTGCGGGTAGGAGGGACGTTATGGGGGGCAAGCCATTGTAATCCATAAGCCGTACTTTGGAAATTTATATTCATTAAATAAAAGTTAAAAAAAATATATAGGTTGGCTTATGACATACAACTATGAGTTTGTCCAAAGGGCCCAGAACAAATAATCACTTTGTTAGATTTTTTTAGAATTTTTCTCTTCTTTTCTGATCTCTCCAACATGTCAGGAAAGTGAGAGGTACCTGGTGCTGATGGATCATTTACCCTGAAGTTTCCCATGCTATGGAGGAAATTTCTCACAGAGTCAGAAGAGATCTCCTCTGGGTTGCCTCTGAGTTAGAAAATGAGCACTTGGAACTTGGAGACACCAGATGTCTCTATGACATCAGCAGCATTTAATTTAATCAACACATAGGGCCCAAAAAGGAATTGACTGACAGTTGGAGGGAGGGTCAGAACCCAACTGTGCTTATGATTTCAGATGCAGAATGAAGAGTGCTCCAGGAAGCATGGTTCCCAGCATATTCTGAGTTTTTAAACACTTCGTGTTTAGAATTTTAATGATCCCTGTTTCAAAAGTGGTTGTCAGTCACAGTTTGGAGGAAGTGGATGTCTGTGCTGGAAGGGGAGAGAGCACAGGGGCTGTTTTCCATTTCATAGTCAGGCATGGGGTGGGGAGGGCATGGTGCAAGTGAAAGAAGAGAGAGGGTTGGCAGCTTTGGGGAGGAGAAGGCACGAGGGCATCACAAGCCCACTTGGGGAAGGAAGATCTCTGAGAATCCAGGCTGCTTCTGCTGGGATCTGGAACACTTCAGGCCAATCCAGAAGCCAACAGAAAGAATGTTTATTGATATGTAGAGGGAAATTGATTTGAATGGACCTGAAAGTATTTGACTGTCTGAAATGATTTATATTATAGAGACTGATGCTAATGAATTGAGTTCACTTTCTCATCCATGCATGATCTATGAGCTTCATTTTCTGTTTGTGATCATCTCTATAAGAAGTTTAGAATAATGCTTGGCACCTATTAAGGGCTCAGTAAATGTTGGTTCTTTAGTTCTGATTTCACTCACAACCTATGCCTGATTCTCTATTATTCTGGTGTCAAACTATATAAAGTAGATATCTATCTGGCCTTTCTAAAGTAATATGAGTTACCATCTCAATGTTCCAACAGATTCATATTAATCAGGCAGGGAGATTCTTAAAAATGGGTGTATTTATATCTGTTATAGGACATTTGAAAGACATGCTTCAATTTCTTTGGAAAAGCAACTCTAGTTCTACTTTTTTTTTTCCCTTTCAGGACTCTCCCTCATACTTTTGAATTGAGAATCCAGAAAGATGGGAAGATTTGATCTTTGCTTTAGCATCTTGCTTCCTACAATACCCAAATTTAATGAACATCTTTGGGTGACCAATCATATTTCTAAGCCATACTCCTTTCCTCAAGTGGAACTTCTCTTCCTCATCACTATGAGATTCCTGGAAATTTCTTCAGCTTTTTAGAAACTCCCTAACCTTGTGCTCAGCTTCAGAATTCTGCAAAGGTTCAATGAGAAAACTGTACAAAGAAAGACTTTCAATTCCAACTTGTAGTGGCCACCAGCCATGCTAATCTCTCTTCTTCTGCTGTGGTCCTTCTTCATGAACCAGGTGTGATCTTCAGACTCTGTTCAAAATCGCCAGATGTCCCAGGAAAGAAAACAGCTTGTGAATGAGAGCTCACCTTGGTAGAGGTACTCTCTGGATCTTTTTGTTCGTATAATTTTTTTTTCTCATCATCCATTGATCTTCTTAAGTGTGATTTTCTTTTACAATTAACTTGTCCTTTTTAGGTAGCCTAAAAGGAATGTGTTCTACAACCAACTGCATTATATCTGTAACTGCAGGTCTCCTTGGTATTAATTTTTAAGCAGTTTGGGTAGCTATTTTTTTGCAATCTAATAATCCATGACAAATCTTTGTGCATCTTTCCAGGAACTTCAGATGAATCAACCACAGAGGAAAATGTGGACATATGTAAAAACTAGAGTTAAAAATTACACTTTCATGCTAGAAGTTCAAGCAGAATTACATTCACTGGCATTTTGTACTTCTGCCATATGTATAAATAAAAATGACACTACAATATCCACATTTGTCACTTGCTTTTTTCAATGTCAGAAATATTTGTTAAGGTGATTCCTATATAAGGGAATACTGCAATATCTGAAATTGAATTTCATATGTCTCAATGGGACCTTAAAAGTCTTGACATGGAGCCCAGTCACCTGAAAACCCTGTCCTCTCATCTCTACATGATACATGTGAAGTTTAGGGGGTGTGGGAAGCCCCTCTGCCAGCATCAGTGTAGGAGATGATGATTAAGTAATAACCTGGGCAAACCTAGGAGCAGATGGGACCTGGGGAGGCTTCCCCTGACTCATAGATCCTGTGTCTAAAGAATTGTCTCTCATTATCCTTAAGTATGGTGGCTCTGTTCTCTATAGACTCTGGGGTGTACTGTGCATAGATTCCTCTCAGAATTAAACTTCTAAAACCCTTAAATTTGGCTCCCTCTGCTTTTATTTCTGGTTTTTCTCAAACCATGATCTACAGCTCCGTTCTCTATGTAAATTTCCCTGACCACATTGTTATACCTTTGTATTTCAAATGACTTAATAGACTTTATTTGTCTCTTACAAATGAACATACATAGTTAGGCATGGATACTCTAACTGGAGAAGTGAAGAACACTTAGTGACAGTAGATGACAAGGTTTAAATCCAGGTCATTTTACTTCTCCCTCCCGCCCCTCTACAATATCATTATGTGAATCTATACTAGTTCTGAGGTGACAGATGGCACTAGAGCAAGAATACCTCCTTACATCTGGTATATAGTTGAAAAATGAAGATGCTATACAAATATGTATGGAAGGAATTTTTACCTTCTCCTGTAAACTTCCTTTTTGGACCTGGCAATCACCAGGGTTAGATAACAGAAAGGGAATTACATAACCTAACTCAAGGCGAGGAAAGTGTAGAGACTCTCTTGGCATCATGCAGTGTGAGGCCATCATCCTTGAACATGGAAAAGATCTGATGGCCTTGGAGGTGGCTTGACCCTGAATTGTACTAGTGAGGGCCAAGTTCCTTTATACCTCTCCTTCAACCTCAGCTTCACTATTTATTTATTTTTAAAGATTTATTTATTTATTTGAAAGTCAGAGTTACACAGAGAGAGAATAAGAGGCAGAGAGAGAGAGAGAGAGAGAGAGACAGAGAGAGAGAGAGAGAGAGAGAGACAGAGAGGTCTTCCATCCGCTGATTCACTCCCCAATTGGCCGCAACAGCCAGAGATGGCTGATCTGAATCCAGGAGCCAGGAGCTTCTTCCGGGTCTCCCATGTGAATACAGGAGCCCAAGGACTTGAGTCATCTTCTACTGCCTTCCCAGGCCACAGCAGAGAGCTGGATCAGAAGAGGAGCAGCCAGGTCTTGATCTAACTGGAGCCCATATGGGATGCTGGTACTGCAGGCTGGGGCCTTAACCTGCTGCACCACAGGCAGTGGCTTTTCCCACTACACCACAGTGCTGGTGCCTCAGCTTCAGTCTTGCATTGAATACGTATTCTCCCTGCAAGATCCTCCAGAGGCAACTGGATGGAGCTGAATGTGTGCAGGTCTCGCTAAGGCAAGGAAAAGAGGGACTTGTGGGAATGGAGAATCCTAGGGGAGATATTCTGATAAACCAGGAGAAAAACAAGTACATGAGTGAACTGAGACATGAATGAGGGACTTCTAAATTCTTTCAGGACAAGAATGAATTTTACAGAACAGATCAAATTTATTGGACTGATAACTTTGTTGCTTATAAAAATAGTAAAATACCAATTTCATATGGTTCACCGATGTTTTGTGACTTCATTTCTCTTCTGAAAAGATAACTTTTGATAATGTAAGCTATATACATACATGCATGCCTTAAAAATACAAAGCCCTAGTTCAATAAATAAGTGCTTAGTCATGACTTCATCCTTGCTTGAAGATGTATTATCCACATGCTTGCAGTTAGATGAAGATTACCCTAGCTACTAATGCAGCTGTCTTTGGGGGTTTTGTGCTGGTTACTTAAATAACAACAGCATCTTGCCATACTTAGAACTGCCACTGGGCTGGCTCCTTATTTCCAGGTCTGCCTCTCAAGCTTTTCCTTGTTTCTGGCCTCTGAGTTCTCTTTCTCCCTTGAGAACTTGGTTATGCATTTAAAAATAGATGTGGCTGTATTTTAAACATATCTTGTAGCTAGGGATGTTCCTCACTGAAAGTCTTCTGTTTTGCTGAAAGCAAAAAACATGACAGCTTGAGGTAAAGGAAGTGGAAGGCGTTCATAAATGATGAAAGCTAAGCATGCAACACAATTAAGCATTACAAAATGTATTTGTAGAAAGCCAGTGAAGGAATAAGATGCAAATCAACTGTTTTTAAATCAACATTTTCAGGACCAAGCAAGAAATGATGAGAATAAACTTGTTAAAAATATTGTATGACTTTTGGTGGTATTTTTAGTCAGTGTAATTTAGAGATGGCTAAGTATTGTTATTTTTAATTCAATATTTTAGAACAAAAGTGTACCAAAATAGAAAGCTTCTCCATTTTACCCCCCACAACTTTAAAAAGTAAACTGTGAATGTTGGGACACCATAGCCTTTCTTTTTTAGTTTCCTTTGCTTGCAAGTTTGTGCACCATCAAATTACATTGCACTCTTTCCTTCCCTGACTTCCAGTGGCAGGGCATTTGTATAAATGAATCCAACACCCTGTTTTCTTGTTGTTGCTCTGAGTAAACAGGAAGAAATCAGATGCCCGGGTCCAGTGACTTGACTTCATACAAAGGGATCTTGTTGGAACAGTCTTTATCCCCAAGATATTGGGAGATTTATTTATTTGTAACCTTTCTAAGTAAGTGAGTTTTAGTGGTATTTGATCGTTCTACGATGTGTTATAGTTTCAAAGATTTTGTTTGTATCTTGACAAAGGGATTCAATTAAAAAGTACTTAATTGAATGACTAATAGAACAAGTCAAGACTACTTCAAAACATTCAGCTGTTTGTCTTATACTAGTGTGTAGGTACTTGTGTATAATTGTATATTTTGATTTTTTTTCTTATTAGTTGCCCGTGTGTAGGTCCAGCTATTTATGCTAATTATATTGTCTGTGAACTCCAGTTTATCTATTCATAAAATTGGATAAAAATTTATCACAACTCCTTCCTTTTTTTTTTTTTAAAGATTTATTTATTTTATTTGAAAGTCAGAGTTACACAGAGAGAGGAGAGGCAGAGAGAGAGAGATCTTCCATCCGCTGGGTCACTTCCCAGTTGGCCGCAATGGCTGGAGCTGTGCCGATCCGAAGCCAGGAATCAGGAGTTTCTTCCAGGCCTCCCACACAGATACAGGGACTCAAGGACTTGGGCCATCTTCTACTGCTTTCCCAGGCCATAGCAGAGAGCTGGATCAGAAGTGGAGCAGCTGGGACATGAACTGGTACCCATATGGGATGCCAGCACTGCAGATGGCAGCTTTACCTGCTATGCCACAGCCCTGGCCCCAACAACTCCTTTCAAAGATTGCATTATGTAAGTGGAGGGTACTTCCATGCTATTTGAGGAGTGGGGCTGAGATCCCAAAGAAGCAGGCTAAACTGCCTTTGGGGAAAATGGGTCCTAGGACTTGCAATGCTACAGCTCAGGACTGGCTATGCAGTTGAGCACTCCGGCCAGTCATTTCTGTTTTCTGTCCTTTCCTACCTGTTTCTGGTTTTGTCCCATCCAGTTTCCAGCCTTTTATCTATATCAGTGTTGAAGGTATCTTTACATAGCAAAGATGTGCCACAGAATACTGCTGCCCACGCTGTTCACACTTGACACTGGTCAATGGTTGTGATGATTTTTTTTTTGTCATTCATTTCTTAATGCATATTGGTATTAGTTGACTTTTTTGGTGGGTTGCAAAAATATTTTTTGAACTCTCCATCTTTCTTATCCCCTTCTACTTTTTTTTTCATGCTTCCAAAATGAATTAGATTAAGACATCTATGGGCAAT